ACAAACTGTATCGGAGTTTAGGGTTCCACAAACAATAAGACGTAGTTCAAATTGATTTCGAATGAAAAATATTAAGTCATACCTCATGTGGTGCCAATAGACAGTTGAGTCCATGTTACACTGGTTTAAAAAAAGTTTTTTCATCAATGTGTTTATGCATTTAGTGATTTAGATTTTGCTCCACAATGAAGAGTGTGAGGTTTGAGAGTTTAAAGAGACAGAATAAGATATTTTCAACACAATCTAGTGTGTTAATAAAAGAATAGTTATCTGATATCTGTTTTATAACAATGTAGAATTGTAACAAGTATTGACATTTTGGTTTAGGTCAATAAATAATCATTGTTATGAGTCACGTCAACTAAGGTTATAAAGACAATTTGCCCACGAGTAATAGACCATACCACTTTCTGAAAAACTTGTAATCCTTGACAAATAAGCATTGCTATGAGTCACCTCCAACAAATACCGAACTTTCTCTTCGTAATCATTTGTCAAGTGCAAAAACCATAAGAACCATGAAAACCACAATCTCATATATGAACTATGATCATCTCTAGGTTTGGTAGTAGGCCATAATTGCTACAAAATGATATTTTTTTTTACAAAGCAAAAGAGTGCCATAATCATAGAAGCTCATATTGACAAAGCTAAAAAGCAACCACAAACAGGAGTTGGCAATGGTCAAAAGATAAGAGTAACAAAGGGGTGGGGTGAGAGGGAAAAGACCGGTGGGGTTTTGCACTAACCCAAAGGCCAAAAGTAGAGGTCAATTATGAAAGTTTAGTTATACGTTTTTTCTCTCTTGTGACTAGGGCTTTTTCTCCTTAGTTATACAAGTTACAAGGTGCAAATTAGAACTGATTTTGATAACAGACTCACTAGAACTAATGTTATGTAAGCTTACACTCAACCATTATACATTAAAAAAAAAAAACTCAAAACCGAGTATACATTGTGAGAAAAAACTCAAGCTTACTTATGGATGATGATTTTCACGCACTTCTTTTACCTCCAACACACCTTTGCAATTTTTTTTTTAAATATTTGTTTGCTCTTCTTTCAGGCCCCTCCAGGTTAAAGACTTAGGAATAGAAAAGCACACAAATATTAAAAAAAATAAAATAAAAGAGTGTGAAATTCACCAACCATAACTTATGCATCTATGTATACGAAATTTCTATTGTGCGTGACTTCTTAGCATAATATTTTGGAAACAAAGAAAAGATATGTACGTACACTTGTTAGATATGACATAAATGTTATTTCAACGTGATATCTAATTTAGAGGTATTATTTTTGTTTCGTTGAACAATAGTTGTCATTTAAGAAATTTGAACTCAAGACCTTCGATAAAATAAAAATTAAATATCACTTGACCAAATAATCACTTGCCATTAGAAGTATCATTGAGTGAGCTTAGAATATCAACAACCAAGCCTTATCTACTAAGTGGGGTTGAAATTGGTTACTAGGCGAAATATCCTACAAATAAAAATTAACTTTACACGGTAAACTAATCAGATGAGCTAGTCAACTAGTTACAAGTTAGTTAGTAATATAAAGTGTAGTTGCAAAACCAAAACCTATCTGACCAATACGTTCAACTAATCAGAGTTTGCCCATATTAGTTTCACAACAATAATTCATGAGCTTGAACACATTTACATATCAGTTCATTATGCAAACAACAATGACAAAGCAATTATGAATTAAAGTATGCTGGATTGACTAGTCAAGCTCACCAGTCAACTAACTACAGATTCGTCGGTTAATCAAACGCAAATCTACGAATAAAACTTAGTTCACTACAAGTTATCATAGTCAACAACAATTCAATTCATTGCTCATAATATGCAGAGTAAACTTAGTCTCTAACACATATCAAATAACAATTCATAGGATGCATGAAACATATGCAAGTAAGTAAATAAGATATGTGGACAAGCTTAAGAGACAAAGAATGCAAGAAATTTTTGACCGGAAAAAACCCACTTATGGGTTAAAAAACCAAGGACTCTCCATTAAATCCAATCCATTAGTGTAAACAAGATTCTTACAAAGTACCATGCAAAGCTTAATTCCTAGACCTAGTTTACGAAGCAGCTTTACCTTTGTGCAACTTTACCTTACATGAGAGGGATTCCTTTGGTCTTCATGAAGTGGTAGCTCTTCCTGAGCTTTTCACTTTGTGGCACTGAAATGATATTGTCTATAGTCTTCACAAGATGACAGCTCCTCCTGAACTCTTCACCTTGTGGCACTGAGACTAGCACACAAACTATGCATATGATGATATGAAAATGATATGCAGATATAGATTAAAATCTCCAGTCAGTTTCACCAGTCAAACACTTGAAAGATGAAACTGACGTGAATAAAAAAAGCGGTCAGTTTGAAGATTTGAAACTTGAAAAACTTGACCATAAACTTAAAACAAAATCACAATAACAATGCTCCCCTAATATGCAATGATTTGGGTGTTTAGTACATGAGTGTGATTTTGTGACTAGGGTTTCTGATGAGGAACTCAAAAAGGCAGCTCAAGACTAAAACAACTCTTTTTTTTCCTAAAAATGTGAAACTCATAGCCAAAACAAGTGAGCATATAAAACGAATTTAAGCAAGCAATTTCAAAGATAGATTTAGAGATATTTGATGAAGAACATTAGCCATAAAATATGTTTGATGCTCCTAGGAGATCGAAGATGGAAATGAAAAATAAAGCTCTAAAAAATTTCCAATCTCAGCCCTTATAAACAATGAACCCTAGATGGACAATTTAAAGAGGGCTTGAGGCTTCAAACAAGAAGGGGACCAAAAATACACGGGTCAAGTCCACAAACAATCATGAAAGATTTAGGGTTAAAAATACTCTCAAGAAAAAGGTGTCAGTTAACCCATTTGGGTTGTCTTAAAGTGTGTGCCCATCAAACTGGAAAGCAGCGGGAAATTTTGATGAGACAGAACCACTAGACATAATGAACTGAAAATATTACCATAATATGCACATGTATGAACAAACATTTGATGTGAGAAGTTAAGCTCTTGAGATGAATATTTCTAGCAGCATGATCCAAAAGAAGCAATTTAACCCTAAAACTATCTAAAGCATGTGTGGTACAATTTACAAGATTTGACAAGGAAAGCTAAACAATAATTCTAGACTTTGAAGGGGTCGACTGTATGAATTGTAGAACGCCATTGCGCTCTGTTTTGTGCAAATCTTCCGTTAGCTCCAAGTACTTCATATCTTTTCTTAAAAGTCTATTTCCAAGTCTTCCTAGGTCTTCCTCTACCCTTTTTGACTTGAGCCTTTGTCTCGTAGTCACATCTTCTAACCGGAGCATCTATAGATCTTCGGTTCAAGTGTCCAAACCACCTTAACTGATTTTCTCTTATCTTGTCTTCAATTACGATCACACCTACTTTACCTTGGATATCTTCGTTCTTAATCCTATCCTTTCTCATATGCCCACACATCTATTGAAACTTCTCATCTCCGCTACACTCATTTTTTGCCTATGTTGTTTTTTGACTACATAATATTTTGTGCCATAAAGCATTGTTGGCACCCAATTCATTTCATGTATCTTTTGTGTCAAAATTTAACATCCTTAAAAGCACATTGCATTTCACATCTTTTACCAATTGCTTAAACTTTGAGACTACAACAATTCCTTGCTTGTAATATTGGACTAGGATTTTCTTTGTCATGTGCCCTTGTCTTTTCAACAAACATTTTGCTCCAAAGAAAAGACATCCCTTTACAAGAAAAAATTACCTTACCAAATGAAAAATGGGGACATCCTACTCATTGGTCAATATATGAGTTAGTTGATCATCATCTTTCTACTTTTGCCATTTCTTGAAGCTTTGAATATAATTGTAGTCCAAATACCAAACAAATTCATGCTTTCATCTTTGACTTAGAAATAACAAGCACACACGCCCATCCATTTTTCTATATTTCCAATGGGCCATATGCTTAAAAATTTCAATCCTACTCATCTTTGAAGGAAAAATAAAAAATTGGTTACACCATATTCGTACTAACCAACCAATAAGAACTAAAATATGGAAAACTTATATGTATTTTATACAAGTTAATATTTTAATTATTATGATGGATTGTTACATTAAAGTTGAAATGGCTTCAAGATCTAATAAAATGGAAATGTCTTCTCAAATCCTAATGTCGTCAAAGGCTTTTAAAAGTCTCTAGCTAGTGCATCAATTTTTGACCATGAATAGCGAACATCAGTTTAGTTCTGCGTCTTCTTGTTAACATCGATATAATAAACGTTTTAAGTGTTTTTTACGTTATATGTTGGTAGCTGATCATATGTATATGTCAGTTGTGGATCAAACGTTCTAAGTGATTTTAGTAATGAAGAAAATCTCACCATTTAATTTTTACGTTATATGTCATTTGCGGATCACACGTATCATATAAAACTAAGCGTTTCAAACATGTGAAAGTTCCAATCTAGCTAAAATAGTGTTTGATTTCAACCAATTTACAGGAAAGGCAATTACTTTTGAATTGCCTCATCCCTTGGTGGATTCCCATGCACTGTGTACGGCAAACATCCAAAATGGTGAGTGAACCATCGTTCTCCACCACCAACCCATCACCACCGTTGGATGTCCTCCTCAACCCTTTTGCCCCACCCTCACGCTTACCTTTTGACTCTCCACGTGCGACACCATGCAACCGTCCACTTCCGTATCCGTTAAATCGAACCAAACCGGCCGGCCGGTCGAACCGAATATTTGAAAGCGAAGAATTCACGCTTCTCGATGCGCTGGTGCGAAATTCCTTGCCCCCGACCGACAATTTTCCGAAATAAATATTCTCTCAACGTCCAAAACAAAAATTAAATTAAATAAAAATCGATATTAATAACTTAATATTCATTGAAATTGGAATTTAATATAATTTTATTTTCCCCGAATATTTCTCACAAGCCCTAAAATAGTAAAATCCGAATCGGATTTTCCCAATTTATTGTCAGAATAAAAAAACAAGCGTCGCTAAAAATCTCAAAAATCCACACTCTCTCCAAGCAACCAACCACATTCTTCTTTCCCACCTGCATTCTCATTTCCTGGCACTTTTCCTTTCGTCTCTTCGATTTCCACCACCATCATCGCCGTACCTTGCGACCATCGACCAATTCGGACGGCTGTGCTCGTCCGTCTCTTCAATCACCACCAAACCGCCGCCGCGGGCGTCGCCGTTGGTAGTTACTACGTCTATGTTTTTGGGTCTGTTTGGATGCGTGAATTATTGGGTGGAGGATAAATGCATGTGGCTGGGGATTTAGGGTTTCGGAGCCTCGTGCTGGTGGTTTGTTTTCTGGCGTCGGTGATCGGATTCTTCGTGGTTCGGAGAAAATGGCGCCTCGCTAACGCCAGGAGGGAGGAGATCAGGAGACTTTTGGTCTTGGCCAAGGAGGAAGTTGCTAGAGCTGAGTTCGAGGTCACGGCTGGGTACGGCGCTGTTCCGGTAGCTGAGATTAAAGGTTCGTATTGCGTTGTTTGTTACTGCCCCACCACCACGCGCTGCGCCCGCTGCAAAGCGGTTCGCTACTGGTAAGTTTTCTGATAAATTAATTAATTTTTCATTTTTCTTCTAATTTTTGTGATTTGGGTGGCAATTTGTTATTGTTTATTTACATTGCATGTTGAGCATATGATGTATTTTTTTGAAATTTCTGTGTGCATCCCGGTTGTTTATTTATTTATTTTCCCTTTTGCTGAACATTAATTCAGGTGATTGCTTTTTTTTTCTTTTTTCTTTTTTTTTTTGGGTGGTTAATCTGATTTTACTTCTGAATCTGTTGAAGAAGCGAAAACTCGAAAAACCGGTTTTTGACTCAGATAGGAAGAAGGAATTTGATGATTTTTATGTTGTTTTTGATATTACTGAACCTCCCGTGAGTATTTATAAATGTTCCTGAACTCTGTGATGGAAACGAAAAGGTGAAGGGAAAGGGATTTTAGTTACTAAGATGTTGTGACAATTGCGAAGTAACAATGATTAACAACCGTTTGCAGATTGTTTTTTTGTTTTGTTTTAGTTTTAGTATGCTTATTCTCTGATTCAAGAAGTCCACATGGCACAACTGAGCTTGTGCTGCTTGTCAAAAAGGAAAAATGGTAAAAGATCGGTTAAATGCCGTATCTAGTTTGATGAAATTTCAAACAGCCAAACAAAGTGTAGTAACAGAGAGAAGGTTGTCTTGGAACTTAGTGACATCTTATGATCACGGAATTCCCATAGAGAATTTAAGGCTTCAATAAACAATTATACCTTTGATAACGATGAAATAAAAATCCTTGTAGGCTGTAGCCAACCCCTATAAACTTTGACTAAAAAATAAAAAGCTTTGTGGAATTATAGTTTTATTCATTTAAACGCGGACATCTGTAATTGGTATGGTACTATATTTCATGGACATGACGTCCAATTAAATGTTTCAGTTCTGCAAAGTGTCAAATTGTTCATTGGCGGCAAGGTCACAAGGAAGAGTGCCGTCCTCCTAGCATAATTCACCAGAATGTTGTAGTGGCAAGTGATTCTGAACTAAAGGTAACCAAAGAAGACCTTGAAATTAATACCGACAAGTTTGAAAGCAGGGAGTCTGTTGAAAAATCTTCTGAGGAACCTGCATTGCCTAATCCTGGTTGCCCTCCCGATGTTGAATGCATAAGGGATGATGATAGTGAAGATGAATTTCTTGCCGAGAGGAAAGGAACAAATTCTACATCTGACTCACCAGCTACCTCTTTTTCTGGATTTTCTACTTCTGCCAGCAGGTACTGAATCTTCGGACGATGTTTCTGTCAGTGGGAGTGTTAGTTCATTTGAACCTGACAGATCAGATGGGCAACCATCTGCTGATGATGCCTTTGAGATCCAGCAGACTCCCTTTAATGGTAACAACATCGATCAATCTAAGCCATCATCTCCAAAGTTTGCTAGCTTGGTTGATTCTGTTGGTGGTTTTGCTAAGTTAAATAAGTTGAATCAGGTTAAACTTAGTGTTAATGATGAAGAAAATGTGCGGAGATCAAATTCTTCTTCAGGTTTGAACAACAGTGGCATGAGTGAGGGTCCAGTTGCTGAGTCTTGTACGCCATCCTCTGATTTCTGGGGGAACACTCTTGATCCCGTAGGGTCCAGGAGTGATGCCCAAGTGTCCAATTCCAGTGTAGCTAGTAATAGAAAGATATCTGATTCTGGATCTTCCTTATTTTCATTCAACTTGTCTGGAAGTACTGCACCTCCCCTTCATAGGCTAGACTCCAGGTCAAGTGGCACCAGGTTAGGTGATGATCTTCTGGATTCTTCGGAGCTCAGTAAGTCCACTTGTGGAGCAGATTTATCAGAGAAGATTAGTGGAGATGCTGTGAAGGTCAAGAATTCCCCATCCCAGAAAAGTAAAGGGTCAAAAAATGAGGATAATGAATCTAGCAGCAATTCACATGCCTTCAAGTTCAGAGAAATTAAGTCTTCCTCCTCGCCTTCTGTTCATAAATCTGTTGGCACTGAAAGAATTTCAAAATGCACACATGCTTTGAAACCTAGTAGAGTGCTATCCACAAGCTCAGAAAGGTCAGATCAGGCTGTTAAGAACTGCAACAGAACTTCAGATGTTTTGAAGTCTAGAGAAGCTGGAACTCCATCACCCAGTGTTTCTGATTCTCGCCATGCACCTGCTGTTGGAGGCTCACTTCCACTTGTAAAATCTGGAAAAGTTGACTTTGCTGAGGCTAGTAATGCTGTTTCATCTCAAGCTACAAATCTTTCAAATAACAGGAATGGCTTGAAAACCTCTGTATTTAAGGTTTTCGATCAGTTTAGAGGATCCAAAATACCAAAGCACTATCCTGTGGGAGTTGGGAGTGAGATTGCAGGAAAATACAGCGAGAAGGTTTGACCTTCTATTCTTTTTTAGTGCATATTCCTTAACATTTTAAATGGCTAGCAATCATTATGAATTGATTATGTGTCTTTGTTTCAGGAGGAACACTTTCGGTATGAATTATTTGTTAAGCTTTACAATTGGAACAAGGTGGAATTGCGCCCTTCTGGCCTTATAAATTGCGGTAACAGGTAACATCATATAGTACCTGTTCATGTGGTCATGTTTGGAAAAAAAAAAAAAAGGTGCACAGAACCAAGTAGTGAAGTGAATCAGATTAGATCTTCATAAAGTCTTGTAGCTGTAACCAAGGTGAACTTGCATGTTGCTACTTGTTTTATATAGTCAGTATTACCCAGTTCCATATGCATGGTGTACTACCATCTTTCAGTCTTCTAAACCAGAAATGGGAAATTATCCCGATGTTGGGTCATGATTATTACACTGTTTAACTGTATTTGCTACAATTATTATGTGCATAAAACTTTATTATATGTTTTTGCTGGTTTCATTTTCAAACAGATTTGATAGATCAAACTTTTGAGTTTTGATCAGAAGTGTGGTTATTCTGTTTTTAACGTATTCTTTATTTTTATTCTGCAGCTGCTATGCCAATGCAGTGCTACAGTGCTTGTCATTTACTCCACCTCTGACTGCTTATTTGCTTCAAGGATTCCATTCTAAAGCTTGTAAGCTTTCGAACATGTTCTCCTCTTTGGATTCCTAGCAATTACTTGTTTAGTACAGTCAGTAGATCTTGTATTCTGCACAGTTTATTGATGAGATTTTAATTTGTCAGGTGTAAAGAAGGAATGGTGTTTCATGTGTGAGTTCGAAAGTCTAGTTTCAAAGGCAAAGGAAGGGAGCTCTCCTCTGTCTCCTATGGGAATACTTTCCCAGTTGAGAAAAATTGGAAGTCAACTTGGTAATGGGAGAGAAGAAGATGCCCATGAATTTCTAAGGTGTGCTAAACTTGTACATCTCTGAAGGCCTACATATTATTCTATGCATTAGTAACACTTACTGTTCCATCTTCTGGAAAACCTTTTATTGACTTGATAAGTTAAATTGACAGGTATGCTATTGACATGATGCAATCTGTTTGCCTTACGGAAGCTGGGGTTAATTCGTCACGCTCTTTGAAAGAAGAAACAACTTTAATAGGCCTTACATTTGGAGGCTACCTTCGATCAAAGGTATGTATTACTGTTATTATAATTTTTATACAACCAAGGTTGTGTTACTTGTCTCGTCTGAGCTTACATAATAATTTTCCTTATAGCATGTATAAATTTGATTTTATATGGTGCAGATAAAATGCACAAAGTGCCAAGGTAAGTCTGAGCGGCAGGAAAGAATGATGGATCTTACTGTTGAGATTGAGGGTGATATAGGAACCCTGGAAGAGGCTCTTCGTCGATTTACTGGTACTGAGACCTTGGATGGCGAGAACAAATACCAATGTAGCAGGTTAGTTGTCCTTTTTTTTTTTTTTTTTTTTTTCCTTTTCTTCTATATATATGTTTGAACATCTATTAATTCCTGTTAGACCATACAGTATGTTTCCTTAATCAACCGTTATTGGGCAATGAATTATAACTTGGTGAACCATTTTGGCAATGCAATGAATACTATATTAAGTCCACATTCTGATTAGATATTATGGGCTATAAAAATTCATCTGTGCTATTTACAAAATTTGAATCCTGCTACTCCTTTTTTTTTTTTTTTTTCCTCTTTGACATGATTATTTGCTAAGGTTTGGTTTATAGTGAAATGTACAGGAAAAAACAGAGTTCTTATTACAATTTTAGCTCCGCAACGCACCAAAGTTAATTTTTTGTCTGATTGTTATCAAATAATATTGGATGTAGGTTTTGCTGGAGTTGTTATCGTATTTCCCCTCTTTTCCCCTTTTGTAATCTGCCTATGGATGATTACTCATTGATCTCCCGTCAGAGTTTGAACAACTATAATAACTACATAGAAGTTTTTCTAATTTTATGGAATTGTTGGCTAAGATGCACTAACTTTGTTGGTGTTTTTCAATATCATGTCAATCAGATGCAAATCTTATGAGAAGGCCAAAAAGAAGTTGACGATACTGGAAGCTCCAAATATCCTTACAATTGCACTAAAGCGTTTTCAGGTAATTGAGTTATTCAAGGACATGTTTTCAGTCTCTGCTTTTTGTAAATTCTTTTCCTTTTATCTGATGTGTGTTCTCCTGTAAACAGTCTGGAAAATTTGGGAAGATCAATAAGCCTATCCGGTTTCCTGAGATCCTGGACTTGGCACCTTTTATGAGTAGTACAAGTGATAAATCGCCTATATACAGACTTTACGGGGTGGTTGTTCACTTAGATATCATGAATGCTGCATTTTCTGGTCACTACGTGTGCTATGTCAGGAATTCCCAGAACAAGTGGTTCATGGTTGACGACAGCACGGTATGTTTAATACAAATTTATTTCTTTAATATGCGTTGCAACTTTACTCTTCCTTTTTTGTTACTTGGCTTTTCCTTTTACCTAAATAGTATCTACTACAAGTCAAGGGGTTACCTGAAAGAAATTACAATACAAAGAACAAGGTTTTCCCTTTAAACATCATTTAGTCTACATGTAAAACAAGAAACCGAAGCCCACAGGGATGGCCAAGATCGAACTGGCCCACAAATGGTCCACACCTCCTCCCTTCCACCTACGATTATTACTTTCCACGCTATCCATGTGTCAATCTCCTATGGCTTGCTTATTTGTTTTCATGCATAACCAGAATGTTGTTGTAATTGCATATTCGAGCGCTTTTAACTTATAATGTGTTGGCTTTGGTTGGGCAGGTAACACCTGTGGAACTTGAAAGGGTCTTGACGAAAGGCGCTTACATGCTTCTTTATTCAAGGTGATGGATCTCTTCTGTTTTGTTTGCTACTCTCCCACCTCTCTCTCTCTTATCTAGTCTCTGTAATCATTGTTGTTTGGGCTTTTGACTGAACTACCTTGCAGATGCTTGCCAAGGGCCCCTCGATTGATAAGGAACAGAATAATCTCTCCTGATCCCAAACATCGAGCCATTCCTTCCTGGATCGGTGGAAAGACTACCAATTTGAAACCAAAATCTGTCTCCACACATTCTGCTGTTGCCCCTTCCGTACCCAGTGCACATTCACCAGAGGAGCTGCAAAGGATTTTGGAAGAGGACTCATCAAGTGACAATTCTTCCCTTATCAGCAACAACTCCGACGAAGGTTCTTACAGTACTGATAGTACTTGTTGCTCTCCCAGCACCGATGACTTGTCTGATTACATATTTGGTCATTCAGTGCATGGTTGGAGTAGCTCGTTTAGAAAATTTTCAGATTCTGACACTTCTTCGTCTTCCTCACCCTCGAGTACTACGCATTCGCCCCTCTCTGATTCGTACCGGTATGCTTAAGTTTCCCCTGAAACTGTTGGGAGTAGCAGGCCAGTAGATTCAGATGGCGTGGTGACGGTTGCTTTTTTGCACTCTTGACACCACTAGACAATGTAGAAAGCAAGTGGTAGTAGAAATAGTGAAACTGACTCGGAGAGATTAGGACCCGACTCTTTAGGAGATGTAAAATTTAGAAAATCAAGTAGAGAAAGAACGGCAAACATTTGATTAACATATATATATATATATATATATTTATGTTCGAAAGTGGTAAATAAAAGAGATGGAGAGGAGGGGATGTATGTAATGTACTCATTTTTCTTTTTTTTATTAAAAAAAATGGGCCGTGGCCTTTTTGCCAGTTAGCCTGCTTAAGTCTTTATATGTAGATGTGGTGGGTGAGTGAATAATTTTTAGCCGTCGATGCAAATGAGTTTCACAATGTTTACTTATGCGTAAGCGATTACATGTAGCATTTCTCTAATGTTTGTCTATGTGCTCGCCCTCGGCCTCACAAATTCAAGAATTAAGAGTCATTGCTTCTTTCATATCGTAATTGTTGCAGTTAGTTTATTCTACGAATGTGAGAAATAGGAATTCTACAAGATCGAGAAAGATCCTTTTTCTTAATATGATTTGTATTACTTGGAAAACAAGTAAAGTTCATATGGATTAGTATAAATAAAAAGGCACAAGGCCAAGGGAAAAACACAATCAACGCCAAGAGGAAAACACAATTTAGGCAGTTGAGCCCCTTGTTCTCTCTCTTTGAATAGTATGTGAATGTTCCCAAACAAACATTTAGAATGCAAATGTTATCCCGAACAAAATGTGTCCTGAGGCAAGAGTGAAGGCCAACTAAAAACAGAAAAGAAAGTGGAGGTTGTCGGGGTTTTAATAAAATTTGCTGATCAGAAAGTCAACAATCTACTCGCGGCATGTTATTGTTGGCGGGGAATTTGAACGTTGAAGGACGACAAACGGAGTCCAATCAATCCAAATAAACGGCCCACACGCGACAAAACTTGCCCATACGTGCATGCATATATCCCGCCCTTTGATCCATTTCATCTTCGTCCTCTTCAAGTTTCAACTTCAAGGGTCAAACCAAATGCTGTCACCATCACCGTACACGTGTACTTTTGTCAATGATGCCTGCCCTTGACCCTCATGCCAAGTTGCACCGAACCCATCCCCTTGTTTGGCCTACACTAAACCACTTGGATTTGATGGTGTTTGGTTGGGGATAGATGTGGGGGGGGGGGGGGGGGGGGGGGGGGGGGGGGGGGGGGGGGGGGGTGGGTGGCAATGAGCCAAGTTGCACCGAACCCATCCCCTTGTTTGGCCTACACTAAACCACTTGGATTTGATGGTGTTTGGTTGGGGATGGATGGGGGGGGGGGGGGGGGGGGGGTGGTGGGTGGCAATGAATGAAAATGAGAGTGGAATTAATCTATTCTTTTGTCCAAGTTGGTGAACAAGCTGACGAAATTGAACATGAATAGGTGTGTTTTGATCTTGTTTAGCTTATGAAATATTTCATCAGACATTTTACACTTACACTACTATATTTAACTATTTGTGCGACGAACTAAAGTTGGTTGCGCAAAGTGTATTTCCGTCGCACAAACGTCCGCGCGACGGAAATTTCATTGCGCAAAGATCGTGAAGAAAGACTTTGCGAGACAAAAAATAGCATTCGTCGCAAGAACAAGGTGGGACAGTTTAGCCTTCGTCGTTCAAAATTTTTAGGAGTGAATGTGTTCGTCGCACAAAATACCAAGATACAAACGTGGGACGACTAATATTCATCTCTCGAAACTTTGTGTGACGATAATTTATTCTTGCGTGACGAAACCTTGTTAGTTGCAAGAATTTTGCAAGACGAAGGTATTCATTGCGCAAAAAGAAAAATATATTTTTTTAAAATTTAATTTTTTGTTCTGTTTTTTTAATTTTGTAATAAAATAATAAAATAAAATTGCAATTAAAAAATGTAATGAAGAGAAAAAATAATTTATTTAAATAAATATAAAATGTATGTACAAGGAAAATGTTTAAAATGTAAGGGAGTAAAAAACTAAGAAAATAATGCGGCGTAATCTACAGGGTCGTCATTCGGAGGTGGTTGGAAATCTTGGGGCACGAAGGTCTCGGGGTTGGGGACAAGCTTAGAGGTCGAAGGGGTAGAGTTCTAGGCATGCTCGAGTTGGAGGGGCTCGGATGTCGACAAGGGACGAATGTCGGACTGACTGACGGCCTGTACAATTAGTGAGATCTGGCTCTTATACCAGGTGAGCTCAATTCTAAGGTCGGCCACCTCTGCTGTCAAAGCTGTCACCTCACTCTTTGACTGCGATGATGAATAGGCTCTAGGTTCGCACTGCCAGGCATTCCCCATCCCCTTACAATACGTCCTCGACCTTCGTCTGACAGTCTGATCTAAGGTCTCTGTAAGGATCTGAAATCCTGCATCCTCTGGGGGATCCACAGACTTGAGCGGAGTCTCGGGAAGAAGCTTGGAGGCGGACTCCTGAAGAACCAACTGCCTTTTCTCCATCATTGTCGCCTGTGTAATATAACATGAAATATTAATAATAACATTCAAATAATAACCATGATACTTGAATGCGTAACATGGTAATTACAATTGAAGAATACTTACATGAAGGGACTCGGCCAACTCATCCCTGGGTCAAACATAAATGTTTGTAAAGATAGATCTCCAGGAATTTTGAACCCCCTGAATAGAACAAGAGAAGGAAAATGTTAGTACAAAAAAAAAAAAATTACTGACATATTAAAAATTGAATATGAAAAACTTTATTATTTCATGCTGCCGTGCCTTCATCCTATATGAGAAGCACCTTGAACCGGAATGGTGGAGAAGAGTCTTCTTCTCCAGATCGCTCTTGTTGGCTTTCGCCTTCTCCAGTAAGAAACGTATAATACTTTTAAACTTAATATAAAAAAACGTACCACATAGCCAAGCTCCTGAAAATGACTGCAGAGCCACACCCAATTATCTTATCAGTCCTCAAATTCCTTCGGGCAACCCTCCTTAAGAGCGACTTGCGGATCATCAAATGTCTCAAAATATTGGTGCAGGTCGCTCTTCCATTACTTGTACCGTTCAGCAAAGAGCCTATTGACATACGCCAACATATCGTCGTTGAAATTGTAGTTCATCTGCAATATAACAAATTAATTACATACATTAAGTAATATAAATATATAAAATTTAAAGAAAAAACAATTAAAAGGTAGGATACTTACCGACAATTGTGCGCACACCTTCGTCCTCACCTCGTTTGGCATCACTTTTCAAGACTTCCATTGCATAGGCCAATAGGTCTGAACGACGTGACCAATGTTGTGGGCCAATGCGCTATGCTGCTCTATGTTCGTGATACGTCAGTTAGTCAACCGGGTGACGTTCGCCGTCTTCAACTGGCGACAAGGTCCTTGGGTATTTTTCTTTGTTGAAAAAAAAAAAACAGTCAAATAAACACAACAAATTAAACCAAAATTTTGGTAGAACCTCCCCTAAAGTTATAACAATTCCCAAACCCTGGACATTGTAATGAATAATATATGATATCCAACAACAATCACAACAGTTGAACTTTAGTAGTGGATGCCAAGTGAAATACTCTATCCAGAAGCAAAAGCCAACTAAAAATTTTAATCGCATGAGGAACATTTAACTTCCACATTCTATTTAGCAACTCAATTTTTAAGTTATTTGTTGTTACATTATTTTGAATTCAAGTCGCAGGTTTGATAGTAAATCGACCATTGACATTCATGCTCCAACAAATAGAATCATTTATATCAAACACTGATAACAAAATATGGTAAATTTGATTAGCAATATAAATATTGACAAAATTTAGCATAAGAGATTTATTTAATCAGTTATTGGAAATAAAATGACAAACTTTCAGGTTCCAATGCGTAATTGATCTTCCTATATGAGATGGAACAATTTGTATAGAGAAAGCACCAAGGCACTATAGAAAAAATCAGTTATCAGTGTTTATTACATGTTTACCTTGTTAGGACCCCGAGGCATCAATAGTGGATGTTGATGTTGTGTCGAGCGTGCGAGGGCGGCGGTGACCATGCTTGGCACTAACAAGTAGCGCAACTGAAGAGGCTGATGATGCAGACGTCTGGGAGACCCGGGGAGCAATTGCATCAGCCGCATCAACTGAATTAACCAGCCTGAGCTCCATTTCTGCTGGTGCAGTGGCGGCTGAAGTAGAATGTGGGTGAATCGAATGGGGTGCAGTCCTTACCGCCTTATAACGTCTAATAAGCTGCGACATCTGCACAATTAGAAAAAAAAATCTGTGCCTATTCATTGAAGTCAATGTGCCAAATCCAGTGCTTATTCTCTATATTACATTTAGATATAAATTGCAAACCGTAGTTGGTAGCACAAACATATTTCTCATCTTACTTGACCCTGATAAAGCACCAACTCCTTAACTCATAACAAAACACAGGTGTAAAACATGAACACCGACAATCATTTTCCAAGTATTTGAAATTCAAGAAAAATAAAACAAAGCACATTTAGAATCAAAATAGTACTCAAATTTGACAGCAGATCATCACCCTAGAGTTGAATTGTGATGAAATTCTAGTACAATAGACATATTATAAGGTAAATAGAAAATTGGCATCCCTTGTTTCCTAGTTGATAGATGTTGGAGGATATAATTGATGGAACAAGGTACAATAATTGGTGAGTCTTTTCTAATGGAAAAAAAATTCTACAAAGCAGAATCAGTACACCAAATACCAGCAAGCAAAGCAAAATAATGCCATGTGCCAACATAGAAACTACAACAAAACAAGGACATAATATGGAAATTTTCCAGGCATATCCGAACAAAAGAATGCAGGTTCAAAACCCACCCAGAAAAGACGGCAGAAATCTTTTATCCCCAATATGACCAAATGAAAACCTAACACAGGAATTCCCCAATACAAATTCAACAAACCAACTTTATGAAGATAAAAACTTTCAAATATCCCAATCAGCAGAAACCAATAACTTTAAAAACCCATCAATCAAAACATAATTATACATAAACCCCAAAAAAAGATTGAAAATTTGCAATGGACTTGGCACTTGGAGCTGAATTCAAATAGTTTATACATTTTCCCTCCTTTTCCCATCCCTTTTCTTTTATCTCTAATCACACACAAATATGTAACCATTTCACTCCTTTTGGTTTATTTCTAAGTATAAAGCAGATTTTATGAACTTGTTTCCTACAGAGAAGACTTGCAAGTTGCAACATGTACGAATAGGAAAAGGAATCATCACTGCATACATAAACCATTACTCCAA